CTGTGCTGGCATAGAATACCTTCATTATCTTTACCCCCCCCCCCCCCCACACGTTGATGCCTCTGAGTATGCTGTATTTAAAGGACAACAAAGGTCAAGCTATTTAAGGTTTTAAGCACCATCAGATGATTAAGCAACAGATATCCAGGAAACAGTGTATATTAAGCAATGTCTTGGTGTACTTTTTAAGAATAATTCTAACTTGAGTTGGAGCTGAAAAGTTTTTTCTATAAATGTAACTTTTTTCAGGTGACACTGAACTAATGTTAATGCCCTCTATTAAAATATAAGATAAAAAATTACCCTGGTTGAATCATTAATTTCCATCTGGGCCAAAAGTTTTCCATTAATGCTGAAATTGCTGAATCTTCCTCGTTCATAATAGATGATACAGTGGCCTTCACTAGACACGGATATTAGGCGGGGATACAAACAATTTTCTGTTCCTTCTAGTGCTCTCAGCAAATCTCCAGTAATTGTGTGCACCAGACAAGGTCCTTCTGTATATTACAAATTAATAACAGCATATTACAGAAATGGAAATTCATATAATTTCAGTCAATAATTCACAGTGGATTGGATACAGACTAAGTTAGCTTAACAGAGATTCTACTACAATTTCTGAGAAATGTTACTCATTATTTAAGTCCTAATGATTTCAACATGAACTAAAGTGGAATCCTAACCTACCAAAGGGTTAAGATGGTATAAAATATCTCTCTACTGATGGAGAAAAACTCCACTATCAAAGAGAGTACATTTGATCTCCAGGCTACCTGCTATACCCAAGGAAATCTTTAAAAGCTTATATCTATTCTTAGTAGAGGTTTTAGCAGCAGGAGGCCATAACAGGGGCAGGTCAGGTTTGGAGTAAAACTGATGGTGGATTTCTGCTCCATTGAGGTAATAGTTGGCCTTTATAACCACATAACTTTGAATTCCCATGGATAATTCTCCCTCCTGAGTGAAATGAAAAGTAAGTTATAATTGGCTGGAAAGGCCAGCAGAGGGACTTTACCCAAATAATTCTCACTAGGGTGAACTAATTGAATTTAGAAAGAGAGGAGGGTCCTTCCCTTTACTTTAATACTTATTCTAGCCCCCCACTCCCATCCCATCCTCCTTTTATAAGTGAATAGTCTTTTTTCAATTCAAAATACATAGAAATGGTTGTGGTGGGCTGTAACAATAACCTTGAGGAAGAAGAGGAAGAGCTGCAGCCAAGGCAAAGGTCAGATAAATCTGAGCCCAAAGCAGGACTGGGATTTGAAAAAGGATCTCAGACTTAACCCTCTCTAGTTCTCTTTAGGATAAAGGCAGGGAGAGGAGAGGCACATTCAGACCTGCAAGATTCTGTTACTGTAACACTATAATAAAAGTCATTTTAGTATTCTTAACTTTGGTGTTTGAATCTGATCTATCTTGTAGGGTTGACAGTGATATATCTGGTCAACATCTACCTTCAATGTCTCCATAAGACTGTCAAGACAGAGCTTCTTTGGACAGTCCTTGAGACTTAACTGGAATTCATGCCAGGGTTGTTTTTGTGACACTTGTTTTTATTGCAATGTTTATTATTTACTGTTTATTTTTAGATGTTATTGTGAGTTTGTTTTAATGTTTGTAAAATTTGAAGAATTGATTCTGATTACATCAGTAAATAAAACCCCAAACATATAAAGGCAATATAAGCCATGAAAGATACAGGTGGGAGGACTATGTGCTTCAGGTACTGAATGTGTCATGTCAAAGAAGTTGAAAAAAATTAAACAGAGAATTTCTTTGAAGCACTGGTACATCTATGTGTTCATGAAGAGGGTTGCTCATTCTCCATTTTTTAAATTTCTGAAACTATCTCCCAGAGGTCAAAGGTCTTTAATAGCTACTTTTGGTTCGGGACCCTTTTTGTTCAGTCTAGATTTCAACAGAACCACCAAAATCCATAGGAATTGAATTACTTAAGTCAGTCTTATCAAAGGGAAGACTGAGTTCAGGAAGCAGAAGTAGCAGAGATGTTGGAGGAAAGTGACCATGTAATTCTGAAACATAATCATACATGCATCTTGACTTCCAAAAAGTGTAATTTAATAAACTCAGAGCAATTATAGGTATGATCTCATGGCAGAAGAAGCTACAGGGAAAAGATGCTCAAGAGAGGTGGGAGTTCTTAAAGAAGGAAATATTAAAAGCATGACTGCAAACAGTTCCAAAAGGATAAAAAATGGACAACAGTAAAAGAAGCCTGTGTGACTACAAAAAAGGTTTACTTAAGATCTGAAAATGGAAAGGACACATATAAGCAATGAAGTGTTCACAAAGGAAGAGTTCAGACAGGTACTGTAGGCTGGAAGTGTAGAACTGGGGTCAGGAAAGTTAAATCTCAGAAAGGTTGAAATCCTTAATATTCAGCGCAGGCAGCGCATTTGGGAAACTTCAAGTTTTTTTCAAATAATTTCAAAGCAAGCTCCAGGATTCTGGATCATATAGAAACTTTGGCAATATTAATTATCTATAGATTTGAATTTTGGTAGTAATGCTTATGCTGGCGGTGCTCTGAAGGCTAATTCAGTTGTTGGGCTAATTCAATTGTTGATATTAGCTCTTGCAGCTAAAGATAGTCCTCATCTAGCAACTGCCTCAGAAAACAACTGTTCGCAGTTACAATGGTGATGAAAAAGTAACTTTGTGACCAGTGTTTACAATCTTCACAGCATCTTTCTCTCAGTCATCTATTTGCTATTACAGTCAGTTAGTACATGTTGCCTGACCTGTTTTTTCCCCTCTTTGCAGAATGGAGAGATTGCTTTAACAAGCTATCTCTTCCTGAGCTGCTTCTCTCTGCACTTCAGGGTCCTTAAAAAGTGCTAAAGGCAATTTACAAGCTCAGCTCTGCAACCTTAATTAGTTGATTAGAACCCTCCTACCAGCTCACAGCTGCTGCCTAAAATTGACAAGATCCTAATCAGTTTCACGCTAAAGGCTTTTGTTTGCCTCTTAAGCTGCTTGTGGCTTGCTGGTGCCAGCACATTCCTTTCAATGTGTATTCCCCACTGTGTGCCTGCTTACTCTCTTGTAGTCCCTTCCTCTCCAATGACTGTAAATACAGACACTGATTCCCTTCTTGCTAATTATTCCAGTGCCGGGGTGAGCGTTCCAAAGGGCAGGGGAGTGGGGAAAAAGGGCTGTAAGATTTGCCCTTTTACCTGGCTTCCTCATGAGTCAAGTTCCAGAAACCTTCCCCGCTGTTTGAGCTCACCTAGCTGTTTGGGGCTGTATCCTTCTGATGCTGTGAAGCAAAGGAAAGCTGAAGTAAAATCATAAGCACAGTCACATGATTTTCCACTTAGCAACTCCTTCGCTTAACAACTGAGTTGCCTGTCCCAATTGTGGTAGCTAAACGAGGACTACCTGTATTTTCTGTTTGTAGGTTAATGATGGAATGAAAAAATAATACTTATTTTGAGGTAAGGTTTTAAACTAAAAATAACCTTTAGCAACTGACCTTTAGCACCACTTATGACAAGTCCCAGCTCAGCACATACTGATACACAGACAACTTCATGATCATGACCAGTTAGAACAGCTCTGGGAGCAGGATAGTCACCTAAAAGAAAGAAAGAACCATACTGTAGATATATATACATGCATACACACACATATATATACTTAAACTGGCTTGAACTTCACTTTGGGAGTGTTTCTACTTTTTATCTTGGGGGGGAGGGTTCTGTTTTAGACTGTCTCTAGTATACGGAATTTCTTGATTCATATATTATATTTCTTCATGAAACACTAAGCATGTCTATACTAGTCATAGTAATGTAATATATATTTAGATGCTTTGACTGGGTTTGGAAATGTAACCTTTGCTGTTGTTTTTGTTTGAACAAAATGTCATTAGGCTGTGTAATGCTTTGTATTTGATATTTATAATTTCAACTTTTAAGTCTGCCCACTCACAAATGACTAAGAGGTGAACAAAGACTTAAAATGGCATAACAATCTAAAACAAGAAATGGTGCTTCATTGTAAAAATATACTCTCTCTCTGCAACTCTTTAAAGTAGCTGTGTCTTTTCTTGGGTTTGCACTGTTGCTTTCCACAGACAGGTGGTACATGTACATTCTGAAATACCTTTTTTGAATTAAGAGCTGCACAGCCCTAATTATTTAGATTTCAGTGCGCATGCTAGCTAGGAAACAGCCAGCCATAATGCCAATGCATCTGGAGGACATCTGGTTGGGAAGACAGAATACCTATAAAATATGGGATATACCTGTTTTGATTGAAATAGAAATGCTGAATAATATTAGAGATAGTTTTTCTGCTTTGAAAGATGTTTACATAAGTAACAGGTGCATTATATTGTGAAAAGTAAACAGAGAAAGAGCTGGGAAGAACTCAGTAATATATCTTCTATGCTTCTGGGTGGGATGTTTAGATATCAATAGGTTATTTATTTATACTCCATATTTTGTAAATCTGTCTGTACTGAAGGAATGTAGGAGATGGAGGTATCAAATAAAAATTATTTAAACAAATCATTTAATCCTCTAAATGATTTTTGTATCCTTTCATAACCACCTGTTGCAACGTATCACTGCAATTTTAAAAATATGTTATTTTCTGCACAGAATGAAACATTAGATTAGAAATAGGCAACTATTCCAGCACAAAGGGCTGTATAGGAAATGTATCAGGAGGTGAAAGGGTTTGGCTAAATTTCTGGAGGATGCTAAAGTATAGCTGGCAGAGGGCTTGAACTTATTTTACAATATTCTCATTTTGAAATTGCTATTCTCAAGTGTAAATTACCTGACTTAGCTCTTGAAAAACCTTGAGAGTTTTTCATGACAGTTGAAAAGAAAGCAAAGAAAGGGAAAAGGAACTATTATCTACATTACACATAATTCTGGAGTATCAAGCTTAATACACTCAACTGCAGGTTATCTATAATTAAAGTGAATCTGTACTGTGTTCTACTTTATTTGGTATTGTCTCTGAAAGCAGATTTTTAAGCAAGTCCTAACTGTAATATACTTAGAATCAATTGTGGCTTGGCAGTAACAGTTCATTCTTTGGAGCAAATGAAAAGAAAATAACATTTTAATCAGTGTTATATTATTAGAGCAAACCTGCTAAATGGGAAAGAGAATTTCACATACCACATTTCACTGCAAAAAATGGAATGTCAAGGACTGTAGCAATTATTCAAAATCTAACAAAATTCTGTCACCCTAATAGCATACTGATAGATGCAGTGAAAGATTAAAAGCTAAGATACTAAGGGAACTGCAGGTGAAACATGACCGCTGTGAATTGAAACACTATCACGTTGAACTCACAGTAATTTCCCAACATTGTACTTCTATATCTGTGTAGCTGAATCACTTTAGGGCAAAATAGTAAAATCTACCAGACAGAGCGACCTCAGTGTAGTAATAAATAAGAAGCTAGCTTTTGCTTCCCACAAAAGACATAATATGCAATTAATTGTACAGAAGATCTTGAGTGAAAGAGAAATACTAATAGTCTAAAGGTTAGTCATTTGAAAAGTGGAAGACATGAAAGCATCTAATCTTTGGCAGAATTGTTTTCCTACCTGAAGAGCAATAAGAATATTGCAAAATAAGCATCAATAAAATATCCTGAACATCAAACCCCAAAGGGCAGCTTCCTGGAAATGTTATTTTTCATTTTTCCCTACAACAAAGCTACATGTGGTAAGGTCCTAGCTAGGCCAACAAAAGAGCATTGAAAGGCAACAGGATTTATGTTGATAATTGTATCCTAAATAATAGACAAAGCATCTTAAAAGGCATGGAGACAAAGTCACAGGAAAGAGTAGTCTGTGTGCTTTATGCTTCTCCTTCTCTTTCTACTGCTTGGCTAATGGCAAGTTGCTGTTACTGTATAATGTATTCCTATATCTTCCACACTTGGAGAGAATTCCTTGCACTCTACTTCCTCAGCAACACTTTCTACTACAATGTATTTGGAGATTCTTTCCTACTTTCATTCTGAGCATTGAAACTGAAAGACCATACATCCACATACATATCCATCATGCTTCCTTTTGGGATAAGCAGTATTATAGAAAACACAGAAAAAGAGTAAGACCTAGTAAGTAAAGAGATTGGAGGCAGAAGATAAGAGAAAGAAAGGGAAAACAAGAAACTAGCTAAATCTAATTTACCCTAATACCTTTAATTTTTAATGCATAATTTTTATCCTTACTTTCAACATATATATCAATTCATACATTGCCTTCTGTTCTTTAAAAGCTCCACCTCTCTCTTTTTGAAGATATTATTAACTTGTTTTGTAATTCAGTCCTTATTAATTCTCCATCACCATCTTCTCAGTCATTCTTGAGTCTCTAAAGAGTCTAATCACATTTTCTGAATTCTGTCATCTTGTTTGCACCTTTCTCCTACAAAATAATTCACCCCCCCACCCCCAATCAGGGATTCATTCAGAATGTTACACGCTTTATTTCTTGTCTGTCTTTTGATTCTTATACTGCCCATCTCCAAGACTGTAGGAAATTCCCTCCAAACTGATTGCTGGTTCTTTCATTATCACCATTCACTGGAGAATATCATGCAAATAATAAATTTATAATTTCATATGCACCCAAAACTATCTAGATGACATTACTTCATACTTTCTGATATACATTTTAGCCTTTTCGCTTATAATGCATGTACTACCTGCATGTATTCATCAACTTTTCTCCACAAGATTAGACCACTTTAACTGAGAACTATTACATTTTTCTTCTTTCTTTGGGCCTCACAAATACACAAAGGGCAATCAAAACTCAGTTTTATCCCAAGCATGCTCATACTATTTTATGCAAGCTGGGATCTCCTCTTAAAGTCTATCTTGTAAGACAACATACTGTTGCCCACATCATCAGCTAGGAGGCAGGTATAACCTGAAAGGAGTTTTTTGAAATAAAATCTAGCAAGGAGTGCTGGGAATACTGTTTTGTTTCTGGTTATAAGCATTAACTTGTTTATTGCTAGAGACCACTGTGTCAACTAGGTTTACACCTGCTTGGGTTCTGGTAGTCCCTTAGATTCTCAAACATCTTTATGATGTTTCTTAAATCCCTGTGCTTGACTGGCAGCTATAGGCTCATACACAGTGGGGCAAAAAAGTATTTAGTCAGCCACCAATTGTGCAAGTTCTCCCACTTTTTCCCCCATTTTGTCTCTCATAGTTGAGGTATACCTATGATGAAAATTACAGGCCTCTCTTCGAATCTCTTCAGAATAGTGTGGGAAGGAAAGAGTGCTATGTCTGTGACATATACATACAGTGGGGCAAAAAAGTATTTAGTCAGCCACCAATTGTGCAAGTTCTCCCACTTAAAAAGATGAGAGAGGCCTGTAATTTTCATCATAGGTATACCTCAACTATGAGAGACAAAATGGGGGAAAAAATCCAGAAAATCACATTGTCTGATTTTTAAAGAATTTATTTGCAAATCATGGTGGAAAATAAGTATTTGGTCAATATCAAAAGTTCATCTCAATACTTTGTTATATATCCTTTGTTGGCAATGACAGAGGTCTTCGAATCTCTTCAGAATAGTGTGGGAAGGAAAGAGTGCTATGTCTGTGACATATACATACAGTGGGGCAAAAAAGTATTTAGTCAGCCACCAATTGTGCAAGTTCTCCCACTTAAAAAGATGAGAGAGGCCTGTAATTTTCATCATAGGTATACCTCAACTATGAGAGACAAAATGGGGGAAAAAATCCAGAAAATCACATTGTCTGATTTTTAAAGAATTTATTTGCAAATCATGGTGGAAAATAAGTATTTGGTCAATATCAAAAGTTCATCTCAATACTTTGTTATATATCCTTTGTTGGCAATGACAGAGGTCTTCGAATCTCTTCAGAATAGTGTGGGAAGGAAAGAGTGCTATGTCTGTGACATATACATACAGTGGGGCAAAAAAGTATTTAGTCAGCCACCAATTGTGCAAGTTCTCCCACTTAAAAAGATGAGAGAGGCCTGTAATTTTCATCATAGGTATACCTCAACTATGAGAGACAAAATGGGGGAAAAAATCCAGAAAATCACATTGTCTGATTTTTAAAGAATTTATTTGCAAATCATGGTGGAAAATAAGTATTTGGTCAATATCAAAAGTTCATCTCAATACTTTGTTATATATCCTTTGTTGGCAATGACAGAGGTCAGTGGGAGAACTTGCACAATTGGTGGCTGACTAAATACTTTTTTGCCCCACTGTATGTATATGTCACAGACATAGCACTCTTTCCTTCCCACACTATTCTGAAGAGATTCGAATCATATAATCTCTACAAGCTCCAAAGCGTGATTGGATATAAGCATGCAGTATAGTCAAATGGTCAAAATGACACCTAATCTTTAAATCTGTACATAGAAACAAGAAGTACAACTGAATACAGACTTCAAATAAAGTGAGTGTACCTACGTGACAGTAGATGAGAAGCTTGATAACAAATAAAGTCATTAACAGCTGTAACTGCAAGAATTTTTTCCACAAGGTATCTCTAGATTTTGGGAAATACAATTCTGCATGCTTTCTTAAACTAACTGGCATCTAAACAATCAGAATCTCTTTTTTGGCTAACACAATTTTAATATGAAATAAAGGATTTGGTATCAAAGCCCTTAGTATACTCTTCTCTATAAGGTTTCATAATTTGCCATTTAACGAAGTAATATGTACACATACAGTTAATACTTTAAACTAATTATCTCCTCCCAATTAATTTAGAGAGTCTTTTAAATCTGAAATATTTACATGCAAATGACTCAAAAGGCCTTCAGAAGTATTATTCATAAAATCAATGCTACTCTCTCCCTGGAATTCTTTATAGAGACATTTAGTATGTTTAGTGTACAGGCAGTTTACCACACTCATTTATTGAAGTACTGAACATTCCCTTTAAGTATATGTAAAATGTGTCAAGTGAGACAAAAGGCACTTTAGTGCCTTTAAGGGCTATTTACTATAATTGGTCCACAAACTGAGGTTTGGGCCAGTTGACACAATGTGCTCATATAGTGTTCAATGCAAACATGGCTAGGAAAAGCAACTCACACCTCTGGCAACTTGCTGCTATATAATGAGAAATGTCAAGTCCCAAGATCAATGAAATTTCAGACCCCGGGGACACAACAGGAATAGCATTGATTGCTTTAAAGAAACCAGTCAAAGGCTGAATGCAATATATTGCACAGATAGACTCAGGAGGATAAGCAGCCAAGTCCACTATACCTAAATGACAAAAAATTCAATCATGTCTTAACACAAGCTGCTGGCTCCATTCGCCTCCTTTTTTGCAGTGAGCTGGTTCCAATTAAAGTGTGCAAATTAATTTTTATCACTTCTGAATTAGTTTCTGGATTTGTATCCACTTCAGAAAAAAAAATCCTTCCTTCCTTCCTTCCTTCCTTCCTTCCTTCCTTCCTTCC